ACTAACGGGCAAAATAACCAGCTAACATCATAATGACAGAATCAAAATCACACCTAACAATATTAACCTTAAATGTAAATTAGCTAAATGCCCCAATTAAAAGACACAGACTGGCAAACTGGATAAAGACTCAAGACCCATCAGTGTGCTGTATTCAGGAGACCCATTTCACATGCAGAGACACACATAGGCTCAAAATAAAGGGATGGAGGAAGATCTACCAAGCAAATGCAAAGCAAAAAAAAGCAGGGGTTGCAATCCTAGTGTCTGATAAAGCAGACTTTGAACCAACAAAGATCAAAAGAGACAAAGAAGGCCATTACATAATGGTAAAGGGATCAATGCAATAAGAAGAGCTAACTATCCTAAATATATATGCACCCAAAACAGGAGCACCCAGATTCATAAAGCAAGTCCTTAGAGACCTACAAAGAGACTTAGACTCCCACACAATAATATTGGGAGACTTTAACACCCCACTGTCAACATTAGACAGATCAACAAGACAGAAGGTTAACAAGGATATCCAGGACTTGAACTCAGCTCTGCACCAAGCAGACCTAATAGACATCTACAGAACTCTCCAAGCCAAATCAATAGAATAGACATTCTTCTTAGCATCACATCACACTTATTCCAAAATTGACCACATAGTTGGAAGTAAAGCACTCCTCAGCAAATGTAAAAGAACAGAAATCACAACAAACTGTCTCTCAGACCACAGTGCAATCAAATTAGAACTCAGGATTAAGAAACTCACTCAAAACCACACAAGTACATGGAAACTGAACAACCTGCTCCTGAATGACTACTGGGTACATAATGAAATGAAGGCAGAAATAAATATGTTGTTTGAAACCAATGAGAACAAAGACACAATGTACCAGAATCTCTGGGACACATTTAAAGCAGTGTGTAGAGGGAAATTTGTAGCACTAAATGCTCACAAGAGGAAGCAGGAAAGATCTAAAATCGACACCCTAACATCACAATGAGAAGAACTAGGAAGCAAGAGAAGACAAATTTAAAAGCTAGCAGAAGGCAAGAAATAGCTAAGATCAAAGCAGAACTGAAGGAGATAGAGATACAAAAAAAGGGTTCAAAAAATCAATGAATCCAGAAGCTGATTTTTTGAAAAGATCACCAAAATTGATAGACCACTAGAAAGACTAATAAAGAAGAAAAGAAAGAAGAATCAAATAGACAGAATGAAAAATGATAAAGGGGGTATCACCACCGACCCCACAGAAATACAAACTACCATCAGAGAATACTACAAACACCTCTATGCAAATAAACTAGAAAATCTAGAAGAAATGGATAAATTCCTGGACACATACACCTTCCCAAGACTAAACCAGTAAGAAGTTGAATCCCTGAATAGACCAGTAACAGACTCTGAAATTGAGGCAATAATTAAAAGCCTACCAACCAATAAAAGTCCAGGACCAGACAGTTTCACAGCCGAATTCTACCAGAGGTATAAAGAGGAGCTGGTACCATTCCTTCTGAAACTATTCCAATCAATAGAAAAAGAGGGAATCCACCCTAACTCATTTTATGGGGCCAACATCATCCTGATACCAAAGCCTGGCAGAGATACAACAAAAAAGAATTTTAGACCAATATCCCTGAACATCGATGCAAAAATCCTCAATAAAATACTGGCAAACCGAATCCAGCAGCACATCAAAAAGCTTATTCACCATGATCAAGTGGGCTTCATCCCTGGGATGCAAGGCTGGTTCAACATACACACACAAAAAAAACTTAAAGCATCACATAAACAGAACCAAAGACAAAACCACGTCATTATCTCAATAGATGCAGAAAAGGTTTTCGACAAAATTCAACAGCGCTTCATGCTAAAAACTCTCAATAAACTAGGTATTGATGGAACATATCTCAAAATAATAAGAGCTATTTATGACAAACCCACAGCGAGTATCATACTGAATGGGCAAAAACTGGAAGCATTCCCTTTGAAAACTAGCACAAGACAGGGATGCCCTCTCACCACTCCTATTCAACATACTGTTGGAAGTTCTAGCCAGGGCAATCAGGCAAGAAAAATAAATAAAGGGTATTCAATTAGGAAAAGAGGAAGTCAAATAGTCCCTGTTTGCAGATGACATGATTGTATATTTAGAAAACCCCATTGTCTCAGCCCAAAATCTCCTTAAGCTGATAAGCAACTTCAGCAAAGTCTCAGGATACAAAATCAATGTGCAAAAATCACAAGCATTCCTATACACCAATAACAGACAAACAGAGAGCCAAATCATGAGTGAACTCCCATTCACAATTGCTACAAACAATAAAATACCTAGGAATCCAACTTACAAGGGACGTCAAGTACCTCTTTAAGGAGAACTGCAAACCACTGCTAAACGAAATCAAAGAGGACACAAACAAATGGAAGAACATTCCATGCTCATGGATAGGAAGAATCAATACTGTGAAAATGGCCATACTGTACTGCCCAAGGTAATTTATAGATTCAATGCCACTCCCATCAAGCTACCAATGACTTTCTTCACAGAATTGGAAAATATAAGTTCATATGGAACCAAAAAAGAGCCTGCATTGCCAAGACAATCCTAAGCAAAAAGAGCAAAGCTGGAGGCATCACGCTACCTATACTATACTACCTTATACTATACTATACTATACTATACTATACTATACTATACTGTACTATACTATACTATACTATACCACAAGGCTACAGTAACCAAAACAGCATGGTACTGGTACCAAAACAGAGATATAGACCAATGGAACAGAACAGAGCCCTCAAAAATAACACCACACATCTACAACCATCTGATCTTTGACAAACCTGAAAGAAACAACAAATGGGGAAAGGATTCCCTATTTAATAAATGGTGCTGGGAAAGCTGGCTAGCCATATGTAGAAAGCTGAAACTGGATCCCTACCTTACACCTGATACAAACATTCATTCCAGATGGATTAAAGATTTAAATGTTAGATCTAAAACCATAAAAACCCTAGAAGAAAACCTAGGCAATACCACACAGGACATAGGCATGGGCAAGGACTTCGTGACTAACACACCAAAAGCAATAGCAACAAAAGCCAAAATGGACAAATGGAATCTAATTAAACTAAAGAGCTTCTGCACAGCAAAGGAAACTACTATCAGGGTGAACAGGCAACCTACAGAATGGGAGAAAATTTTTGCAATCTACCCATCTGACAAAGGGCTAATATCCAGAATCTACAAAGAACTTAAACAAACTTGCAAGAAAAAAATCAACCCCATCAAAAACTGGGCAAAGGATATGAACGGACACTTCTCAAAAGAAGGCATTTATTTATGCAGCCAACAGACACATGAAAAAATGCTCATCATCACTGGTCATTAAAGAAATGCAAATCAAAACCACAATGAGAGACCATCTCACACCAGTTAGAATGGCAATCATTAAAACAGGAAACAACAGGTGCTGGAGAGGATGTGGAGAAATAGGAACACTCTTACACTGTTGGTGGGACTGTAAACTAGTTCAACCATTGTGGAAGACAGTGTGGCGACTCCTCAAGGATCTAGAACTAGAAATACCATTTGACCCAGCTATCCCATTACTGGGGATATACCCAAAGGATTATAAATCATGCTACTATAAAGACACATGCACACGTATGTTTATTGCGGCACTATTCACAATAGTAAAGACTTGGAACCAACCGAAATGTCCATAAAGGATAGACTGGATTAAGAAAATGTGGCACATATACACCATGAAATACTATGCAGCCATAAAAAAGGATGAGTTCATGTATTTTGTAAGGACACAGATGAAGCTGGAAACCGTCATTCTGAGCCAACTATCAGAATGCCAGAAAACCAAACACCACGTGTTCTCATTCACAGGTGGTAATTGAACAGTGAGAACTTGGACACAGGGCAGGGAACATCACACACCAGGGCCTGTCGTGGGGTGGGAGAATGGGGGAGGGATAGCATTAGGAGAAATACCTAATGTAAATGACGAGTTAATGGGTGCAGCAAATCAACATGGCACATGTATACATATGTAACAAACCTGCACATTGTGCACATGTACCTTAGAACTTAAAGGATATATATACACACACACACAAATGGGAAGAAGCACTTGAAAGGTTGCACAAAATTAATAATTTACAGAAAAATGCAAAACAAAGTCACAATACAAAACAAAATTACCTTACACCAATTACAATGGCCACTAGAAATTTTTTCAAAACACCAACTATGTTGATAATATAAAGAAATTGAAACCTATGTAAGTTGTTGATGAGAAAAGAGATGCAGCCATCATAAAAATATCATAAATGTTCTTCAAATAATTAAAAATGAAATTATCATATAATACAGAAATACCATTTATGAATCTATATCTAAAACATACAACACAGTAAAATGAAGACATAAGCAATACCCTGCTTGCATATCCCCCCACAGCAAGTATTACAACCCAGCCTCTAAATAAATACATACATACATATATAACAATTAAAAAATGAAAAAAAATTTTGTAAAAAACTTTAAACTATATTTCAAGGCTATAGTAATAAAAACCAGAATGGTCTGTGTAGAAAAGTGGACAACCACCAATGAAACAGAAATTACTCTTCTCACACATTTTAGACACAATACAAAAAAAAATTTTTTTAAACTGTTTAACATAGAGTTTCTCAAAAATACACAGATATTAGTGTGTCCCCAAAAGCAATGGCAAAGCAGTCAGTTTTTTCAGTCCCTGATAAGCCATAAAGAAAACTTTGGCTCACACTGTGAACTTGAAAAAAGATTATTGAAGAGAAAGCAGAATCCTTGGAGAATTTAACAGCATGGGGCAGAAGGTGTCCCTGTGTGAGAGCAAAAGAAAAAAGTGACTTGAGCTTCTCAGAAACTCTTTCCATCAAAGCACAGTTCCCCAGACCACATTTTAAGGGCTGGCTGCCTCCTTGATTTGTGTACCTCTCATCTGTGTCATCTGCTTCATTCGCTCTCACCTACCTGGCTGTTTGGCTACCATCTCATTTCTCTTTATATTCCAAGACTCTTTATTTTGCTCCAGACAGGTGATCAAGTCTGGCTTAGAGTCAGCAATACCTGTTTTATTAAGAAAAAAAGTAACATAAATCTTGCTGAATTCTTTAACTACCAACCTAGTATTATGCTTAGTAAAGAGGATATAATAGAAAATTCTAGAAAATTAATATTGATTCATAACAGAACTTTCTACGTATTTACAAAATATTTTAAAATTGTGGGTCCTTAATCTCACTACTCAGTATTACTGAATTAAACATTGGTAGTGGCAACTGAATTCTAAGGCATGGGAAACGCTATTTTACGCCATGACATTTTTGGAATTGCCACTAACCTAGAGCAAAAGATACATAAGCTCAGGAAAGGGAAAAGTTCAGGTCAAGATAAAACATCGTGAAGAATTTGTTCTACACCAATGAATTCCCAAGATTTTCTTAAAATTGGAGAGCTAAAATATATTCATGCAAAGCAGAAATTACCAAAATTATCTTAGAAAAGAGAGAAAGGCAATATATTAGGAATTGTGTATTGAAGTTTTCCTCACCCAGGGAGACCAGGTTTCTGTAGTTCTCTAACATCACATCTCTATATAAATTCTGCTGAGCACGATCCAGGCATTGCCATTCCGCCAGAGAGAATTCTATAGCTATGTCTCTGAATGTCAACAATCCCTGAAAAAACAAAACAAAACAAACAAACAAACAAAAACACTCATGAACACACAAACAGTTACCATGTATCTGTAGGCAGAGATTTGTATTTGACTTAAGAGAGTAAAAAGAAGTGGTTTTCAGTTACAAGAGTGACTAAAATTATTCAACAAGATAATTTTTAACACTGAAGTATTCTCTAACTCTGAGAAAAGAGAATAGCATAAGATCCACAATACAACTGTAGATTTGATACTTTTCTGGATGATAAATTATAAAATTAAGGGCATCAACATAGACATGTCTTTTTTTTCTATTTTTCTTTTCTTCTTTTTTTTGAGACCAAGTCATACTCTGTTGCCCAGGCTGGAGTGCAGTGGCATGATCTTGGCTCAGTGCAACTTCCACCTCCTGGGTTCAATCGATTCTCCTGCCTCAGCCTCCCAAGTAGCTGAGACTACAGGCGTAAGCCACCATGCCTGGCTAATTTTTGTAATTTTACTAGAGATGGGGTTTCTCCATGTTGGCCAGGCAGGTCTTGAACTCCTGACCTCAGGTGATCCACCCACCTTGGCCTCCCAAAGTGCTGGGATGGCAGGCATGACCCACCTCACCTGCTGGACATACTATTTTTGAGTGCTATATTTACGTCATAGAGAATAAGTGGTGTGTATTTCTCAAATAGAACAGTCATGATGACTTGGAAGGTACCTCTCAAGTCTTAATATGTGCAATAAACTAAAGATCTTGTGCAGATTTTGTTTCAGGAGATTTCGGATAAAGTCTGAATTTCTGAATTTTTAGCAAGCTCACCAATGTTTCTAGCCTACTAAGAGTATTTTGTCAAACATCCAGTAAGCGGCAGAGTCTGAGTTTTTCCCAGTTTCTCTCATCTGTAAATAAACACAAGAGCCTTCATTTTTAAAAGACAAATATATGCAAAAGTCATCGAAGCCGGGCGCGGTGGCTCAAGCCTGTAATCCCAGCACTTTGGGAGGCTGAGACGGGCGGATCACGAGGTCAGGAGATCGAGACCATCCTGGCGAACACGGTGAAACCCCGTCTCTACTAAAAAAATACAAAAAAACTAGCCGGGCGAGGTGGCGGGCGCCTGTAATCCCAGCTACTCGGGAGGCTGAGCCAGGAGAATGGCGTAAACCCGGGAGGCGGAGCTTGCAGTGAGCTGAGATCCGGCCACAGCACTCCAGCCTGGGCGACAGAGCGAGACTCCGTCTCAAAAAAAAAAAAAAAAAAAAAAAAAAAAAAAAAACGAGAATAATAATTAATAGTGGAAAAAATGTCATTGAGATCTTGAACCAAGTGAATAACATTGTTATCAACTTTATTAGGATACATTTGTATTATGTACTGATGGACACAGGCCACAACATCACTGCTGTGGTATTTCTCGCCTCTCAGAAAAGTAAATTGTAATCCAAATTTAATTATATGGATGTACATATATTTGTTTTTCTTTTTTTTTTTTTTTTTTAGAGATGGAGTCACGCTCTGTCACCCAGGCTGGAGTGTAGAGGTGCAATCTGCAATCTCGTCTCACTGCAACCTCTATCTCCTGAGTTCAAGCAATTCTCCTGCCTCAACCTCCCAAGTAGCTGGGATTACAGATGCGTGCAACACACCTGGCTAATTTTTGTTTGTTTGTTTTTTCCATAGAGACGAGGTTTCACCATGTTGGCCAGTCTAGCCTCGAACTCCTGACCTCATGTGATCTGCCTGCCTCGGCCTCCCAAAGTGCTGGGATTATAAGCCTGAGACACCACACTTGGCCTAAATTTAATTATAAAGAAACATCAGTTTTATGCAAAGTCAAAGATGCAGATAACTTCCCTGTGCTGTAATTTTTAACAGTAATTTTAAGTAGTCTTTCTTTAGCACCTTGGAGAGCAAGTATCTCCTAATAGTTTTTTCAGAACTTTCTGGGTAATAAATGCCATTCTGTTTAAATGAGCATTTTCTAAATCCTGTTCTGCCTGGAAATAATAGAGTACACAGATAAAACCCCAACAGGATATGTTTCACTTTTCACTAATATCCAAAGACAATTGTGTTTCCCCAGTAGAAATATTGAGTATTTACACTTTCTCACGTTCAACAGCTACAATGGGAACATTTTAAATATTGCAGGTCATAAATTTGTAGTAAGAATTCTACATGGCATACAAGAATCCAAGATGAAGAAAATGTATAGAACGTTATGGCATATAGAGAAAATATTTTTTTTCAGAACCCCTTGCCTATCATAAAAACGATAAAAATATAGTTGAAACGAACTCATTAGGGATCAACAGTACAAGTAGAGAAGTAAAAATTTGCAAGTTCCGAACAGATGGCATTGCCAAAGGCAGAGTGGACACCACGCTTAATCTGAGATATGCATGCCTGAGAAAAAGTGATTTTTTTCTTTTCCTCCTCTTTCTCTGAAATGTATTTTCAGATAAGATGCTCTGGACATATCAAACCCGCATCTTGAGAATATGCCTTCAAAGCACAATCTATTTACCTGCTACCACCACACACACCCATGGTCAGAAAGACCGAGACTTGAAGAAAACATTCACCCATTTTTGTTGTTTATAACAGAAAAGATTTAAGAGCAATGGGAGAACAATGAGCTTCTCCATAACTATTAAAATATGAGTTTCTTTTTCCCTGCCCTCCCCTATCAGACACCAGCAATCTTCTTTACAGTAATGGGAGCATGAACTGCACTGACCTCTTCCTACCAAACGGAAACAGGGCAGGCAGTGCAGCCTTCCTTAGATGCGAAGGTTGAACTAAACTCTCCTGAATGTATCTTGAACCCCTCAAGTGTATAAGTTACTTGATAATCTCGGCCCTGCTTTATGCAAAGTGATTCTGCAGGATCCAAAAGGGTCCAGGAATGGGCTTTTTCAACAAGTCCCCTGTAAATGCTGATTGTGCTTTCCCAGACACATTATTAGCATTAGCGAGAGAAAGCAGGCACAGCAAAGAGTCCCTTACACCCGCCACGTCTGTCACAATACACATACTTGTGATACAAATAAAGACAACCAACCACCATGCTGAAATATTATATTTTTTGTTGACTTTTTTAAGTTTACAGGGACAACAGAAGGCAGCAATGTCTGAGTAAATCTGCACCTAGGAAATATGTACACATGTACTAATAAAATGTTTATTAAGCAGGTACCATGTGCTCAGGAGCATGTCACAGAACACTGTGTTGGGAATGACACATTTTGTGATTTAATTTTCGTAGCACCCTGGGAGTTGGTACTAAGTATTGAATAATTTTTAGCATTTAGATTAAGAGCACAGCATTTTTTTCTTCTTATGTTTCTCTATCATTACTTTTAAAAAGAAAATGTATAGAAGAGTAATTCAATACAACACCACAAAAAACATATGAAATGATGCAATTACATAAAAATTGAGTAATCATCTTCCAAATGGCTATTTTGTAAATAATGAAATCAAGGCAGACATAAAAAAAATTTTGAAACTAGTTACAGCCAAAATACAACATACTAGAATCTCTGTTACAGCTAAGGCAGTGTTAAGAACAAAATGTGTATCACGAAACACCCACATCAAAAAGTTAGAAAGATCTCAATTTAAAAATCTAATGTTACAATTAAAAGAATTTCAAAAGTAAGATCAAACCAACTTCAACGCTCGCAAAAGACAAGAAATAACCAAAATCAGAGCTGAGACATAAATAGTACAAGGGGTTGGGCGCTGTGGCTCACTCCTGTAACTCCAGCACTTTGGGAGGCCAAGGTGGGGAGATCACGAGGTCAGGAGTTCGAGACCAGCCTGGCCAACATGGTGAATCCCCGTGTCTACTAAACATACAAAAATTAGCTGGGCGTGTGGCACATGCCTGTAATCCCAGCTACTCGAGAGGATGAGGCAGGAGAATTGCTTGAAACTGGAAGGCGGAGGTTGCAGTGAGCCAAGATTGCACCACTGTACTCTAGCCTGGACAACAGAATGAGACTTCATCTTAAAAAAAAAAAAAAAGTTCAATGAAACCGGAAGTTGCTTTGCATAAAGCAGGGCCGAGATTACCAAGTAACTTATAAACTTGAGGGATTCAAGATACATTCAGGAGAGTTTAGTTCAACCTTCGCATCTAAGGAAGGCTGCATGCACTGCCTGCCCTGTTTCCGTTTGGTAGGAAGAGGTCAATGCAGTTCATGCTTCCATTACTGTAAAGAAGATTGCTGGTGTCTGATAGGGCAGGGCAGGGAAAAAGAAACTTATATTTTAATAGTTATGGAGAAGCTCATTGTTCTCCCATTGCTCTTAAATCTTTTCAGTTATAAACAACAAAAATGGGTGAGATGAGGCGCTGGGAGGGCAGAGCTGCCCAGCATCTTACGCTTCGAGGGGACTAAGAGCCGAGCTGGGCCAAGGATGATATGGGTCCTCAGACCCCGGAGCGGACTGTGAGGAAGTCTGGGTCCTGCTACAGCCACTTTCAGCTGGTTCCAACCAGCTTCCGCCCCTCTCTCAGATGACAGACCCAGCACTCACCATTTCTCGGCTTCCAGGGGATTCCGGTGTTTTAGCCATAAATCTGCGAATACCTGCAGGACACGAAGCCACAGAGTCTTGGCCTCTAGGAGCAGAGGACGCAGAGCCGTGAAGAGAAGAACTGGAGCTCTAGACGCAGAGAAACACAAAGGACCCGGAAAATTACGGAAGCGTCCTGGTCTCTCCAGCTGCATGCCTGATTGAACAGTTTCTAGTCCACGGCCCCTGATTGAGTAAGGTTTCAGGCCCCACCCTTCATGCCTGAATGACAGAATATTTGATCACTGGGGTGAATGAAGTAAAAATAACAGCCTAGGCAGCAGCCTTTACAGGCAAGTCTTCTTCCCTGATCTGAGCCAGGTCAACACCAGAGGATACTTGCGTTTAACCTTGTGTATAACGTCATATGCATTTATAAATGATATATAATATAGTTATTCATAAATTGAAAGAATATAATGACAATTATTTTTAAAATTTGGATGTTATGCAGTGAAACCCGCCTCTACTAAAAATACAAAAAAAAAATTAGCGGGGTGTGGTGGCCGGCGCCTGTAGTCCCAGCTACCCGGGAGGCTGAGGCAGGAGAATGGCGTGAATCCGGGAGGGGGAGCTTGCAGTGAGCCGAGATCGTGCCACTGCACTCCAGCCTGGGCGACAGTGTGAGACTCCATCTCAAAAAAAAAAAAGAAAGAAAGAAAGAAAAATTTGCATGTTCTGACCTTCCTTGCTGTGGATCCTTTGCAGTGATATGGTTTGACTCTGTGGCTCCATCACGAGGTCAGGAGTTCAAGACCAGCCTGACAATATGGTGAAACCCCTCCTCTGCTAAAAATACAAAAATTAGCCAGGCATAGTGGCGCGTGCCTATAGTGCCAGCTACTTGGGAGGCTGAGGCAGGAGAATTGCTTCAACCCAGGAGACAGAGGTTGCAGTGAGCCGAGATGGCACCATTGCACTCCAGCCTGGGCTACAGAGTGAGACTCCTTCTCAAAGAAAAAATAAAAAGTTGTAATTCCCACCTGTCAGGGCAGGGTCCGGGTAGGAGGTGATTGGATCACTGGGGGGGGGTTATCCTTATGCTGTTCTTGTCATAGTAAGGGAGCTCTCAAGATACCTGATGGTTTAAAAATGTGGCACGTCCCTCCTCCAAGTTCTCTCCCTTTTTCCACCATGTAAGATGTGCCTTGCTTTCCCTTCACCTTCTGTCATGGTCATGATTTTAAATTTCCTGAGGATTCTTCAGGCGTGTAGAATTATGATTCAACTAAACCACTTTAAAAAAAAAATACGCAATCTGAGGTATTTGTTTATAGCAGTGTGAAAATGTACTAACACATGCAGACAGCCTGAGATTTCAAAAAAGAGGTAATCCTCTGCTGTAAAATATGAGCCATTTGTAACTGTTGAATGTGCTAGTGGCCAAATGTTAAAAAGTAAAAAGAAAAAGGTGGGGCCGGCCCAGTGGCTCACACCTGTAGTCCCAGCACTTTGAGAGGCTGAGATGGCGAACCACCTGAGGTCAGGAGTTCAAGACCAGCCTGGCTGACATGGCAAAACCCCGGCTCTACCAATAATAGAAAAATTAACTGGGTGTGGTGACAGGCACTTGCAATCCCAGCTACTCTAGAGGCTGATGCAGGAGAATCGCTTGAATCCGGGAGGCAGAGGTTGCAAGGAGCCAAGATCCCGCCACAGCACTACAGTCTGGCAACAGAGCAACTCTGTCTCAAAATAAAAAAAAAAAAAAGAAACAGGTGGAATAACAGGAGGAATTGATTGTAACAATTTAATCAGTCCAATAGATCCAAAATATTGTTATTATAATTTGTGATTAGTGTGTAATGGTTAATAAAGCATATACGCTTTTGAAGCTAAATCTTTTAATGTAACCCTGTATTTTACCTTTCTAGCACATTGCAGTTCAGACCAGCCACATTGCAACACTCTGTGGCCATGTCAGAGGCATTTGAACCAGAGCAACTACATCTGGAACAGGTGCTGGGTAAAATGGGGCTGAGACCTACAGGACTGTATTTCCATGAGGTCAGGCATTCTAAATCACAGGATAAATAGGAGATTGGCACAAGATACAGTTCACAAAGACCTTGCTGATAAAGCAGTTTGCAGTAAAGAAGCCACAAAAATTCACCAAAACCAGATGTGAACAAAAGGGACCTTTGATTGTCCTCACGGATCATTACATGCTAATTATAATGCATTCGCATGTGAAAGACATTTCAACCAGTTATGTTATGTTATTGTCATGTTTACCACGACAGTTAACGAATGCCATGGCAACATCAGAAAGTTACCTTACATGGTCTAAAAAGAAGAGAAACACTCAGTTCTGGGAATCGCCCATCTCTTTCTTGTAAAACTCATGAATAATCCACTCCTTGGTTAGCATATAATCAAGAAATAACTGTAAGTATTTTTAGTTGAGCAGCCCACACTGCTGCTCTGCCTATAGAGTAGCTATTCTTTTATTCCTTTACTTTCCTAATAAATTTACTTTTATTTTGCATTGCAGACTCGCCCAAAATTCTTTCTTTTTTTTTTTTTCCTTTGAGACAGAGTCCTGCTCTGTTGCCCAGGGTGGATGGAGTGCAGTGGCACCATCTCAGCTCATTGCAACTTCTGCCTTCTGGGTTCAAGAGATTCCCCTGCCTCAGCCTCTGGATTAGCTGGGATTACAGGCACACACCACTATGCCCGGCTAATTTTTGTATTTTTAGTAGAAATGGGGGTTTCACCATGTTGGCCAGGCTGGTCTCGAACTCCTGACCTCAAGTGATCTCCTGCCTCTGCCTCCCAAATTGCCTCGGTTACAGGTATGAGCCAGCACCCACGGCTCTGAATTATTTCTTGTATGAGATCCAAGAACCCACTCTTCGGTTCTGAATTGGGACCATTTCTGGAAGCTTCTTTTCAGTGAATCACAAAGGGATGATACTAAGGAAACCACTAACCCACAGGAAATAGATTGAATCACCAACTGACTAACGTTTTGTAAGTGGTGGCGTACCGGGGTATGGAATGGGATTGGGTTAGTAGCCCAATTTAGGGGAGTTAGAGTGTCTCCTAAGACAATTAAGATAAAAGGTCCCCTTTAATAAAAGGCAAGAACACTTGACAAAACTTGTGGTTGAGGTGCAACTTCAAAAGGTTAGAGTCTTTCCTAAAATTTATGGGGTTAGAGGCCCCTCTCAGTAAAGTCCCTCTGAGCTAAGATTTGGCATTATGGAATGTTAACCACTATTGTCTTTGTTTGTTTGTTTGTTTATTTGTTTTGAGACGGAGTCTCACTCTTGTTGCCCAGGCCGGAGTGCAATTCAACATCTCGGCTCACTGCAACCTCCGCCTCGCAGGTTCAAGCGATTCTCCTGCCTCAGCCTCCCAAGTAGCTGGGATTACAGGAGCCCACCAGCGCACCCAGCTAATTTTTGTATTTTTAGTAGAGATGGGGTTTCACCATGTTGGCCAGGCTGGTCTTGAACTCCTGACCTCAGGTCATTTGCCCACCTCCGCCTCCCAAAGTGCTGGGATTACAGGTGTGAGCCACTGCACCCGATCATAAAAAAATCATAATAATTTATATATGATTATTAAAATAATAAAATAATATAAATAATATGATTATAATAATCATAATTAATAAATATATTTTTATGATTATTTATAAAATAATCATAATTAAGATTATTTTCTTTATTATGCCTACATTGGGATTATTTAGTTGCTCTTTTCAAGTATTTCTGTGGATTAAAGTTATGTTTTTTGACATCTTTTCTTTTTTCTTAATATAGAAATATATCACTGTAACCTTCTGATTTAGAACTGTTTTGTGGGTTTTTTTTTTTTTTTTTTTTTGTATCCCAGGGGTTATTGTATGTTATGTTTCTATTTTCTTTTTTCTCATTATACTTTCTGATTTCCCTTTGCTTTTTCTCTTTGACCTATTCGTTGTCCAGGAATATGTTTACTGTTCACATATTGGTGAGTTTTTAAATGTTTCTTTGGCTATTATTTTCTACTTTTATTAAATTGTAATTTAAAAAGTTGATATAGCTCGGTGCAATGGCTCACGCCTGTAGTCCCAGCATTTTGGGAGGCCAAGGTGAGTGGATTACCTGAGGTCAGGAGTTTGAGACCTGACCAACATGGTAAAACCCCATCTTTACTGAAAATAAAAAATTAGCTGGGCATGGTGGTGCATGCCTGTAATCTCAGTTACTTGGGAGGCTGAGGTAGAAAAATCACTTGAACCCAGACGGCGGAGGTTGCAGTGAGCTGACATCATGCAATTGCATTCCAGCCTGGGCAACAAGAGTGAAACTTCATCTTAAAAAGAAAAAATGGACAAATGATTAAACTAAATTTTAATTAAAAAAAGATATACAAATTGGAAGAAACATTTGAAAGGTTGCACATAATTAATAAATTATAGAAAAATGAAAAACAAAATCACAATACAAAACAAAATTCCCTTATATCAATTAGAATGGCCACTATGAATTTTTCAAAAACACCAACTATGTTGATGATGTAAAGAAATAGAAACCTATGTAAGTTGTTGGTGAGAAAAAAGGTGCAGCCATCATAAAAAACATCATGAATGTTTGTCAAATAATTAAAAATGAAATTATCATATGATATAGCAATTCCATCTATGAATCTATATATAAAGTATGCAACACAGTAAAATGAAGACATAAGCGGTACCCTGCTTGCATATCCCCCCACAGCAAGTCTCATAACCCAGCCTCTAAATAAATAAATATGTGGATAAAAATTAAAAAATAAAAAAATTTGGTAAAAAATCTTTAAACTATATTTCAAAGCTATAGTAATAAAAACAGAATGGCAAGTGCAGAAAAGTGGACAACCACCAATGAAACTGAAACTAGTATTCTCACATATTTTGGACATGATGCAAAAAAAGAATTTTAAAAATAGTTTAACATAGAGTTTCTAAAAAATATGCAGATATTTGTATGTCCCCAAAAGCAATAGCAAAGCAGTTTGTGCAGTCCTTGGTAAGCCATAAAGAAAACTTTGGCTCACACTGAACTTGAAGGAAGATTACTGAAGAGAAAATAGAATCCTTAGAGAATTTAAAAGCATGG